CTCGACTGTACTACTTTTGTTTTTTGAGTCTTTTCAGCCATTTGAAACGTAACGTGTCTAAAACCACAAAAATCAAAGTATTATTTCATGACTAATTGACCTGTGAAAACAGAGCACTCTAATTTATTACAGAATTCTTCTCAACCACTTTGTAAAAGAACTAAACAATTCAGAAACTATCTCTTTTACATTATTGTTGAGAACATTGTAGTCTTCCTTTTCTCATAAAAATTTGTTGGCTAACTGTTTTCATTTTTCTAGTAGCAGTAAAAATAGGAGAACAATCGATTTTGTTTATTTAGCAGTCACGTGACATTAGTGTTATCATAACTTTTGGATAGAGTGGCTAGGGCTACAACAACATGTAAAAATTGTTAGTCATTAATCATTATTATTATTTTTATCAAGCTTTTTCCGTTTTGCCCAACGAAAGTCTACTACATCCTTAAATAAACAATGTTTGGAGAGAAACAAATCCACACATGCGCTAGTCAGTAACATGAAGCTGCCCCATGCCACAACCTAGATCCAAAAAGTTGTCTGCTTTCAGTGCTTTGATTGTTGTCGAATTCAGTACAATTTTACAATAACCAATGTTAGTTACAAAGGTCATCAGGAGGTCACTGAGAGAGGGCTTATATACAGACAATGCACTGTGATTAATCCTTACCTGGTTCTGCAATGTTCATCATATCGCTAGCTTCACCTAATGCCTCAGTTTTGCAGATTTTCTCATCAATCAACTTGGCTATTCTCTCCATGTTATTCTTTAAGGCATAGTCTTTAGCAGTCATGGTAGATATAGGTGTCCTGACAGGGTCACCATCTACGTCTGGTAAGACCCAGTCAAAGACCTGTGGCAAACATTAATAATCATTGTAGATATGACAAAACTACTTCCTTTGGTGCATTCTAATCACATGACTATGATAATTACCTGATATTTATGCACTAAGTCAATGCCTTTATTAATCAGCATCTCTGCCAGATCTTCATGTTGGTTCACAATTGCTAACATCAGCAATGTCCACTGGCCCTGCAATAATGGTTTAGGTATAGAAGAGAATCATAATTACCATATTCATGCAGATTTTCAGCACATGGCCAAAATAATGTTAATCCCTAAGCTGACAAAAAGATTAACATTGTTGCATTCAGACAAATGCGATAAATGTTGACCCAAGCCAAACTCCAATAATTATCTCAAAGCTTACATTACAATATATAGTATTTTGAAAAAAACAAATAACCTGCCGTCTCAGCAATGAATGTCAAAATACTGTGATGAAAAACTATTCTGGTGGCCATGTTTTACGATCATTACCACATTATATACCTAGAATACATTACCCTGTTACAGCATTAATAGTGATCAAAACTTTTTAAATACAATTAGGATTTTCAATTTTTGTCAAGTTTATAAATATATGCAATCTGCTAATATTATTTATGAATTCTTTTTTCTAACAACTGATTCGATCCTAGTCAACATTCAGACCAACATAACTCAGCATGAGCTGGGGATGGTCCAGACCCAACTGTCATCTGAATGTAGTAAACTTCATTACAGGTTTTGACAGACAATTACTAATTTTATTTTGAGAAATACGTCCCTCATTAGTAATCATTAGTCTAAAAATAATTACCGGTATGATATAAATTATACTTTCTCACCTTCTCACCTACCTTATCACTCTTGTATTCATTGGAATCTACTTTAGTGTTGATGGATATACCTTCATTGAGTAATGCCTCAACAGCCGCCACATTTCCTTCCCATACAGCCTCTTCTAAGGCCTGACAAATAAAAACTTCAAGTTAGTGAAAGTTGTAAACATTTTAGTTGATTATTACATGATTTGATTTGTTTAGTTCATTTTTATAGAGAAATATTGTTATATATATATGAAACCAGACATGAAACCCAAAGCTTAATTAGGTTCAAGTAAGAAATCTTTGGACGGCCAAGTGATGAATTGATCTACATAAACACTGCTATATTTTTTGGTGATGAACAAATTTTTCATATTTTTTCCCCCTCAAATTCAATGTCCTTGATCTCAATATTCTCCTTCTTGGCAAGTTACAATCACAATTGATGTTTGTGTCTGGCAATAAACTAGTATGTATCCTGTCAGAACTGTTTCCGTATAATTTTTGTTATGTGCCTTTAAGACGAGCACCAGAAAAAAAAAAAGATTAGCTGTTCGTCCGACTGCGCACAGAACGCTTCTGTTCTATTTGCGTTGTGTTCTACTTTATCATTGACATCTGTGTGACTTTACTGTATACGAACATTAATATATATTAGGTATATCACAGCATTCTAATTACAAGTAGAAAAAGATGTATAATAATTAGGTCACATGAATACCGCAAACTATACACTCAGGCAGTACAGAATTTCATTTACATATTACTGGTATATAGTGGTATGTCAGTCAATCACTGTATTACCTTCATGCACACTTTGTGGTATTCTTGTAATAACCTTATATTATTATTACTATACATCAGTCACTGTAACATCATAAGTTACAGCGTGCCATAAATTTGTGGTATTGCATTGGGCATCCTACCATATTAGGAAATGCAAATTCCAAATATAGAAAGATAATGCGTGTAAGCGTTCTCTAATAATAAAAACAAACATGACAGCCTCCAGGGTTTGATTGGCCTCCACACAAAGAAGTTTGCTAAATCTGTTCTAAACTTTGGTGGATTTTGGCATTCCCGTGACGTATCATTGGGAGGAAAAGATGTATAATAATAAGGTTATTACGAGAATACCACAAAGTATGCACTCGGACTGTATGTAGTCGCATCAACCCTGCAGTCTCCTGCTTAAGTGTCTTGTGCATACTTTGCAGTATAATGGTAATAACTTCATATTATCTTACTGTAAACAATACATACCTGTATTCCACTAGCTCCTCTAGATCCAGGTCTGATTGGAGGCAGTGGATCTCTTTTACTCATAGGTGGACTAGTAGACACTGCAATCAACCATGTCAATAAAAGAAAAAAAAATGGTAAACTTCTACATTAAGTTCATGAATGAACTGTTCACAGAGACATTGTATGAAGCCACTATCATAGGTGTCATAGAGTCACATGTTTCATTTATACTACTGAAACTCAAGGTTATGTAATACATTGTTCTGACCATTGGCTGACTGATGGCCATTTTAAGGTAATTCCCATAAATCCACATTTGCATCTTTTTCTTTATGCCGATTGCAAACCACTACAATAGTATTCATATGCAAAGTGTAATAGCTAAAGATAACTGGACATAATTTAATAATAATAACTTTATACACAACTAAATCATCAGAGCATTTAGTAAGGTAAAGAGAATAACAAGTCATAAATAAACAAATGTAATAAAAAGGATATTGTTACCAGACAAAGTGCTCAGTCTATACCAGTATTTAATTTGTGAAATTGAGGCCTTCAATCTAATAGGAATGTGTCATTGTATTAGCTACAAATCTGTACATAATGACAAAGTGACAACCCTGTGTTTAATAACTTTTACAGCAGTGCTTGCATCTTTTGAAACATTTGATGATTGCTTCGTTCTAGCCTTGATCACACTAATTGACTGGTGGCATGCTGAGTGTGATTCACTATTTCATAAGGAGCACAACATGATGATTAGTCTGTTATTCTGTATTTATGATAGTAAATGCTAATTAAGAATTTAGGTTTATTAAAATAGCTGACAGTCGGCCATATTTGATTGAATTATAAACAAAATTGACCTGAAATAGAAAATGACTTACAGGACAGACAACCAGAATATGAATTATAAGAACTTCATCAGAACAAGAACTACTTAGAATAATAATTAAAATACCTGGAGCTGGTGTTTTGGGGGAGAAAAATTCAGCATCAATGATTGTAGCTATATCATAAAATGCAACATCTGCATCCCGATCACCATCAATCTAGAAAAAGAATTTCAAATATTTATTATTTATACAATATTTTAAATTAATATGTAATATTGAGCAAAATGGAAACGTTCAATACTCAGTATCTTGCTGGTTGCCAAATATGCTCACCGTTCTAACAAGACCTTTCTGCTCAAAATAGTCAACAATTGGTTTTGTGTACTCTTTAAAAAAGCCCAGTCTTCTATGGATTGCTTGCATGTTGTCATCAATACGACCGCTTGTTTGTCCACGCTTGAGAAGGCGAGATTGAAGACGAAATTCGTCACAGTCTAAGTATATCACCATATCAATTTCACCAAACTGAAATTAAATATTAAATAAATTGTTAAAACACTTGTTTAGCTATATCAAATTACATTAATTGACATTATTATCTTAGACTAGTGAAATTGTAAATATTCTTTCAAATGTGTATTTTCACTTCATAAAACAACCATTACTGTACATGTATTCTGCTGAAACATTACACTACATGTATACATCTGTTACGTATTTCTGTGTTGTGTTTAGTGTTATTTTGTTTTGTTTTTGTGAATGCGAACAAATTTAGCATTGAGCTATAGGAGACGCCCATGGATTGTCTATAAAAGGGTCGTCAGACTTGAATTCGTGGTCATTCATTACAATACCTCGCGTGGTCAGCAGGTGTGTCAAGGTTCTGGTGTTGCCATGTGATGTGCGAGACAATTGTGTGCCCATTCACCGCACATACTTCAACACCGTCACGTTTGGTCGTACGTTATCAATGCTGCAGTACTGCTATGCAGTTCTTCGCTGAGTTCAGCAATTACTTCAAGGGCCTATTCACTGACTGACTACTACAGCTGAAAGAACCATAAGGTGCATGAACATCGCGGACTGACTATCTCAACTCGTGGATGTGGACGTCACTGTCTCAAGTAGGTATTTCCATGTCGCTGTTCCGGTGTTTGTGTACTTCCGCATTACCGTAGCCATAGGTATATTTCTAATGGGGCTGACTGTGTTGACGAACTGAACTAAATTGTTTGCGTACATAATATTTGTAATTATATTGAATCCTTATGATTTGTATTTGTACGACAGTATATTGTAATTGATCAACTGCTTTAAGGGGCAAGCATTCTGAATAATTGTATATTTCTATTGAGCTGAGATATTGTGGTGTTTCTGAAACCACTGTTTAAATATAGTATTATTTGTTGCAGCGATTACTGTGGTGTTTCTGAAGCCACTGTTTAATTAGTTGAATTGGAGTTTGTTGTTGTGAAACCCAGCTGTAGTCTGGTGTTAAGATAATATATTCCTAGGATGTTCAGAACGCTTGGCCTAACTTTGTAACGAACTGAATACAACATGAATGCCGGTGATATTATGTATATTGTATTTGACGAATATTGAAATTATTGTACTTTATTGTATGTAACTTTTCATATACTGTACAACCCAGTGATACCTCGTGAGCACACTATATATATATATATATATATTTATACAAATACAATATTTATTTCTGATAACTTGTTTTTT